TGCTTGCTCATAGGGGGTCATATGATTGTTGGGTTTTTCTCTGTATCTATGAAGCGCCTTGAGGCGACTTTTGTTGTGATTTGGCGCTATATAAATATAATTGAATTGAATTGAATCCCAAAGTTCTACTGTAATGGCATAAAGCTCTTAAAAACATCCAGCTGTGACAACCTCAACTGTGATTGGTCAGTGTGCCACTGTGTGCTGCCACAAACTGAAAATACGGGCTTATTAGCCATTGAGATACAATAATATCACACACATTGTCCTAATCCTCAGATTCAATTTAATTTTTACAGCACCAAATCACAACAGCAGTCCATCGAATGTGCTTCATGTTGTGAGGCCAACAATGATCCAGAGACAACACCAACGACCCCTTTTGAGCAAGCACTTGGAGAAAAGCAAAACTCGATTGTAACATGAAGAATCATCTGGCAGAACCAGGCTGAGGGAGGGGAACGAAACAAAAAACAAACAGAGGATCAACAGGGGGTCCACGACCCTCTTAGGGACACTTAAAATCTGGGACTCTCCACCTATTGCTTGTAGAACTGAAGAAGCTTCTTGGATGAGAGGTGAAACGTCTTCAAAGACCTTAAAGAAGTCCAGACGCTTTTATTTCCAAGCTCCTTAGACCACCATGATCCAGATGGCTGAAAACAGACATCTGGTTAGATATTATATTTGCAAGATTTTTAGGGCCCACAAAAGAAGCACAAAATTAGAGCTCATCCAGGTTTAGACCTTAATGCAGTTTAAATAACTGCTATGTGGTATGGAGCTTTCACATTAATGAACATGGATGCCATGCCTTCATATTGCCAGAGGGAAATGTGTATACTGTAAACTGAACTGGAACGCTGTGGAGTGTGTTTCTATTAACAAATTGGTCTCCATCAGGTAGATATGATTTAAACCAACCATTAATTTGTAGGTCTGTCAACAAGTCAACAGTGCTGAGGACTAGCACAGAGATGAGTCCACTGTCAGAGCCCATAATAAAATGGCCTATTATTCACCTTCCTGCAAAACACAGGATCCACGTTTAGTTTTCACACAGAAGGTTTACCGAAATGTTAGCAGTAACTGATTGTGGTGCTTGGCACTGTCCCATCACAGCAAGAAGGTCCTGAGATGTTTCTCCCACTGAAAACATCCAGATGAACAGAATCAGCTTTTGTGGATTTGCTTACCTGGATGATTGAACGTGCATCAAGAGGGTCCCGAGAACAAATCCATTAGCTGACTGGGGCCTTCTATGGAGTTTGCATGTTTTCCCCCATCTTGCATGGTTTTCTCTGGAGCACTCTGGCTTCCTCCTACAGTCCAAAGACATGAATGGAGATTAGGTTACCTGGCAGTTCTAAATTGGCCCTAGGTGTGGATGTGAATACTTGTGTGTCTCTGTGTTACTGTGATGGCCAAAGCCATGGCCAACCTCTAAAAGTCAGTAACGCTTATGTATTCGTTATTTTTGATTTAAATAACACACTTTAGTTTGCAGTAAGTTTATTGATTGGTTTGGATACATTTGTTCTATTTGTAAGCACATTTAGTTTATCTGTGTATTTATACCAATTCATTTCTTATTCTTGGTTTTGTCTAATCTTCGTTTCCTTCACCTGTGATGAGCCCTGGGAGCTGCCAGACAGAAGGTGGCAGCCAGGGTTTAAAGCAGTTAGGGGGCTGATTGGATCGCACCACCACTTCCTGCTGAAGGGGGAGAATGTGTATTTTCTTTAGTTAAATAAAGCTTTTGTATTTAATTAAATATTTGAGTTTAGGGTTTATAATTTCTTGTTTGGTGTTTAGTTTATTAACAAACTGGACTGTACTGCATTGTTTTTGTGGTTTATGATTTTGTTTTGTTTAGTTACCCCCCTGTTGTGTCATAGTGGTCTGATCAGCTGTTATATACATTTCCTGTTTAGGTCAGTTATGGGTTTTTTGGGGTTTGTTTTGTCAAGTTCACAGTTCTTTGCCTGAGTTTAGTTTTGATTCTTTTACCTTTTTTATGAGATGGGTGTTCATACAACAACATTGTCATCCCCTATGTAGCCGGTGTATCAAAGAAACTCAGGAGAGTTTTCTCCAAGCATGACATCCCGGTGCATTTCAGACCCAGCAACACGCTCAGACACAAACTGGTTCACCCGAAAGACAAAAC